ACCAACTGAATCAAGATTAAGGAAGGAAGAGGAAGAGGAGGAGGAAGAGAAAAAGAAGAAAGCTGAGGATTTTCTTCTGTATATCAGCAAAGCATTTACGTAAAAATGCTCTCTTTTTGTCTGGAAGACTGAACAAACATGTGACTGCTGGAAGTGTTTCAGCTTTTCTGCCTACCTTGCTTAAAGTGTCATAAAATATGGTCCTTAGTTTAGGCTCTCCTTTTTGTAAAATTATGTAACAAGATTGAATTCACCTTTTAATGGAAAGAAAATATATGAAGAACAATTCAAGAGAGCACGCATCTACTGCAGCCCATTGTGGTTTATTAGGGGAAGTCATGCTGTGTCAGTATTTGGCCTGATTTGAATTTTTGCACCTATGTAAAATACTTTTTCCCCACATTTGTTTTAAACATAGATTTTACGCATTAATAAATGCATACTTCTCTCACTTTGATTTGTGCTGAAACCCTAGCCACTTCTGAATATAGATCAGCACTTTCTGAAACATTTGAGTTAAAACTGTAGCACACTGTGCTGCTACTTCCGCCAATGCAGGATTTTCTCTAACAAAAGCATTAGCAAGGCTTCTAGAAATCCCTCAAAGAAACAGGCATTTATTCTAGTAACATATTGGCCCACTGGTCAAAGAGGAGAATGAATGATAAGTCCAGGCTAGCATGTAACGTATTCCCTCTCTATGGCTCTCCAAATAAGGAAGATATTAGAGTTTGTACCTTTAAGGGTGCCTTCAATCTCAGCACTTAGCAGGAAGAAGGTAGATCTGAGTTCAAGGCCACCCTCATCTACAGAGTGAGTTCCAGGACAGCCAGAGCTACACAGAGAAACCCTGTCTCAAAAAAAAAAAAAAAAAAAAAAATATATATATATATATATATATATATATAGCAAAACAACAAAAAGCTAGAGTTTTGAGAGGTCATTGGGTGATAGGATAAATTTACAGAACAAAAAAGTGGAAAAGTCAGAGAAGTAGATAAACCTGAGAAAATAATTTTAAGACCAGGTAGTGTCAGTTTTCCTGGTAGAGTGGTGTGGTTTCACATGGAGAGGAATTGAAGAGAATATAGCTAGCATGCTGTAGTACAGGGTAGGTGTTTGGCTCTCCCTGTGGCTGTCAAGGAGTCTTAGCTTGGGACCCTATGCTAGAAGCTGAGTGTCATGTTACTGAACAACTTTGATGTCCTTGAGTGCAGTCTCACTGCCTTTGTGTACACCAGCAAAGGCACTTCCTCTATGCCTACTGATGTATCAGCTAATCCAGCCCAAGGCCACATAGCTTGCTGATTAGGAGCACTGTTTGTATTACAAATCCACTTGTCTTCTTAGCTGGATGGTTTTGTGCTACTTATACACTGCCAAATACAAAGGATGTGAGAGCTGACAGTCACCTCCTAACAATTGTTATCTACTGTCGTTAATGTTGTTCATTGTAATAATACAAAATTAGTGCATCCTATCTGGTGTGCAGAGTCACCATACTCTGCGCCCTTCTGTGTGTTCACGACAGGCACTTTGGTCTTCAGTCACCCTTTGCTTTGAGGAAGGTACTAGACCTTCTCATGGTCATTGTCATCATCATGGTTTAAAGAGGCTTCTCTGAATTTACTCATGATCACTGTCAGCTCAAGGCCCCTGGGAATGTCCAGTCACCAGATAATTCTTCCTCCTTGTGATGGGGAGCATTGCTCAGAAAAGTGGAGCTCTTGTGGAATCACATTCTTTTTATGTGGTCATGTTCTTGACGTCTGGTCCTTGTGACTCTGTGTTCTTTTCTCGTTTGTTCTACGTGGCTCTACTTTTGTAGCTTTCTTGTTCCTTATTTCACCCAGCAGAAAACTAGGCCATCTGGAGAAATTCAGTTACAAAGTATGTGTATGGGGTAGGGGCACAAGTTATAAAAGGTGCTAGAAGCTGAGCATCCTGGTCTGGGTCCGCTTTGAGCTTTCTGGGATGCCTGTCGGACAGGGAAAAAAAAAAAAGTATTTTAGTATCCTATCCCATAGCAAAATTTGAGTACCAGACCAAGACATGTTGTGTCTAAATCATATTGCATCTGATTTTATTTCAAATTCATTATGGTCATTATTTGCCCTGGACATAGTACCCTGAGGTAGTAACATTTATGCTGAAGTGGAGGAGTGCTGAGGTAAAGAACAGTGAAGTGTAGGTTCCAAATCTCTAATACTGAAAGGACACAGAATGCTGACTTCATTGGAAAAGAAAAGTAGATGGAAAGGCAGTATCGTAGTAAAGAAAACCAATAGTTTTGTTGAGAAACCCTCTTGGTGATTATTTGTGGTGGGATGACCATGGCTCTGAGTATGGAGCCCGCAAGAGCTTGTCTAGTTACTTGTTCTGATTCTCTCCACTTTGCATAGTTATCACAGTTTGCCCTTTTCCCTGCATTCTTTTCCTTTATGTCAGTTTTCACTAGTTCATGTCGTAGATGCTTTTGTCACAAGAATGTGTTGTGTCTCTCCAGAGCCCTTATTTTTTCCTCCTGTTAAACAGTTCACACCTCCACATTTCTTAGTCAGTTCTCCTTCATTTGTTTCCCTTTTTGTTTCAGAAAAAAAATGTGATTTATTTTTTAATGTATTCAATATCCCTTAAGATTCCTATACTTAGATGTGTTACGTTAGTATATAACCAAATGCCAGTTGAGATGTTAAAGAAAAAAAATCAGGATATTTTAACTCTCACTTAAATAAAAAAACATTTAGCCAAAGCATAACTTTAAGGTGCATTTTATAATGTATTTGAAAATTTTGTTCAAAAGTAAGCTTTGGCATAAAACTCAAGTGTGAAAACTTGCTTCACAGCCTCATAGGCTTCTTCATAACAACCTCAGTGATTTTGAACATGGGTCAGAACACTTATTACATTGCATTTTAAGACTGTACAGGGTTATACATATATATGGTTGTAAATGAGTTATCAGCACAAATCTTTTATGATAATGTACCCTTGCAACTTTATTAATATTGATATTTTAAATTTTCTTATATCTTTCCTCTGATTGGAAGTTATCAGGGCTTTCGTTCTGGTGAACAAGCTTGGGGAGAATTACAATGTAACAGTGCTGTATATAGAATGATTCTCTCAGACACCAAGACTAATAATTTTTAACAATATCCGAAAACATCATAGGAAAAGCTTGAACCATGCTGGCACCAGGAACAGACAGGCATGAAAGATTAATGTAATCTTGCATATAATGATGCACGTTCTTACACAAAAAAAAATCCATCTGCAGTGTCATGTCAGTCAGCAGAAATCTTGGATGGGTGGACACAGCTGGGCTGCCTCTTCTGGCAGGGATGCCCCAGAAAACGCTAAATGTACTTGTGATGCTCGCTGCCATCTGCAGTGTGCCCACTCATCCTGTCTTCACTGGCATTTTCAGTGCTGCATGGGATATTAGTGACTGTGGCAACAGAGATGTGGTGTGACAGACTCGTTTCCTCTGTGGACCTGGGCTCTGGTCCTGTATGTCGGCCTCCCCCCACCCCCCGGGTTTGGGTTTCTTATCATCGGGTTGGCATTCCTGTGTATTTTCACATCCAGCTCCTTTTTTTTTTTTTTTTTTTTTTTTGAGTCTAGCATCTCCAGATACATGTTCTTCTGGTATGTAAATCTTACACTAACCTTTCAACTAATTTATTCATGTAAGGTTGCCAAAGTGATTTAACATTGACTGTTCAATGCCAGCAAATATGCTGTATTTTCAAAATACTCCTGTTCCCAAGCTTCTGATCGAAAGGAAATGTGTCTTATTTAGGGAAAACTAAACAAACAGGCACCAAGATAAACGCCCTAAACACTATGTGTTGGATATCCCTAAATGACTTATATAGTTGCAACAACTATGTAGTCTTCTTTTACATAAAGCTATTAAAATACCAGACAATGAACATTTAACCCTTTTTCCTATGATTCAAATATTCAAGAATAAATACTTGTTTATGACCTGACCATATGTTTTGAACATAATATTTTGTCAAGCCAAGCTTAAAAAGTGTTAATTGTTATTTAAAATAATATTTTTTTGTTTTAATTTAATAGTAACAGAATATGAAGGGCATGCCCTGTCCCTGCTTGACGAATGTGAACTTCAAGGATTTGATGGGTAGGTTATATTATTAGTCTTCACATATATAAAAATTATGCTAGTAAAAAATTTCTTAGCTTTTAGTCACATATTTGGGACTGATCATTTTAAAGCATTATAGTGAATTAGGCTCTGTTCATATACATATGTTAGTAATTAATGCTAATATATCATGGTCATCCATCTCTAAGGACCTGGCATAGGGAATCAAAAAGAGAAATTAAATTATAAATATCAAGGAATCTTATACTTAACATGCATATATTTGTACTTAAAATCCTTAGTGTTTGGCTTTTACCATGTCAATATAAAGAAGAACATTGATGAGAACTATTATATTCATCATACAGCATAACAATGCTGTGGTCTTCTTTTGCAAGAATAGCTATCCAATAGTGAATTTTGCTGTGATTGATTGGAATAGATATTTTGTAACAACAAAATCTATTTTCTGAATGAATAAAAGTTGCTGGTTTTAATTATCTCATAATTTACTGACTAAGTAGATATGGTTTTGTTTTGTTTGTTTTGTTTTACAGGTTTAGCATTTTATTATGAATGGATTGTCACATAGTTCTGTGTGGCATATCAATTAAGGAAACACTGTGTGGCTTTAGTTTTATCACCAGGGATAAAAAGCAAATCCTTATTCTAACTCCCCTGATAACTCTGATGGCTGGGCACTTAACTGGAAGGTGGTTGCTTTTTTGAGCCCTGTATGGCCCCCTACTTTGCTTTCAAGTATTTCAGTACAAAATCTCCATGATCTGATGGGACTGTCAATTCTATGCTAAAGCAAAACACTGCACTGGATAACCTGGGAAAAAGCGTGGTATGTTTGGTTTGAAAGGGACCTGTGACATGCTTAGGTAGGGCACCATTCCCATACCAGGGCTGAGTATAGAGCAGGTGTGTACCACAGCATCCTAAGACCCCCATTGATCTTTTCTTCATCATTTTCAAAAGCCTCTTCCCTGTCTTTGACCGCGGCATGCTGGTATTCCTGATGCTTGAACTCCAGGTCATTTATGTTACTCTCAGCTGTGGTGAACTTCAGCTCACCCATTCCTTCACCTGAGAACCAGTGCATGAAGGCCTTGTGGTGGAACATGGCTAAGAACTGCTCTGAGATGCTCTTGAATAGCACATCTGGATGCACAGTGTTGTTGCCAATGAAGGTGGAGGCCATCTTCAGGCCCCAGGGTAGGCTGTCACACATGGTCACCTTGATGTTGTTGGGGATCCACTCTACACAGTAACTACTGTTCTTGTTTTGGATGGAAAGCATCTACTTGTCCACCTCCTTCGTGGACATTGGGTCCCGAAAGACAATGACCATGATCAGGTAGCGGCCCATGGTGTGGTTCACAGGTGGTCATGTTCTTAGCATTGAATATATGCTGTGTGAGCTTGGGCACTGTTAGGAGCACTGTACTGTTGACTTCCCAGGGCTGTGAGGTGGGGGCAAAGCAGGGTATGAAGGAATATCGCATGGGAAAGGCACCATGTTCACAGTCAGCTTTCACCAGGTTGATGTTGAGCTGGCCAGGGAAACAGAGTGATGTGATACTGCTCATGGTGCCAGACACCAGGTGGTTGGGCTCTCCCTTGGTGGGCGTGGTCAGCTTGAGCATGGAGAAGCAGATGTCTTAGACATTCATAATAGGCATTGGAAACTTGCTTATAATGCCTTGCTGGAGTGTGCTGAAATTGCTCACTGGCATTTGAACATTAGGAACAAGGCAAATGAGATACAGAATTGATTTGCAAATGTAATGGATCAATGTATATAATGAAAACATATTACTTTTGGGAGGGTGTTTATGCAAGACTTGCAATCTGAGAGCTTTAAAAGATGATATGTGTATGATTGCCACATGGCAGTGGGGAGAAGGCAAGAAAAGACAGTGAGCCACTGAGGTCTTGAAAGGCAGTTGATCTTCATTTTCCCCAAAATAAAAAAAAAAAGCTTTAAAGCTTCCAAGGAAATATTAAGACACATGAAGGGTAGTGTTACCATCAAAGGAAGCACTGGATTGCAGTAAAAAAAGTAGTGTTTAGTGAGGCATAAAATTTAGAAGGTAAAACATGATTAAACAAAAGGGCGTATAAAAAGGCTAGATGACTGTACTATAAAAGCATTGATAGTCAAGAGGACAAGGTGGGTAATTACTGTATAATTCCATACTTAGAAGTGAGCAGAAGGATAAATAGGCTACATATGAGGAAATGATTCTCGAAGTGTATATTTAAAAAAAAAATGTGTTTGGGAAATTTATGCTAAATGATGAGCGACTTAGTGTGGTCCAAAGTCCCAAGCTACAAGTGTAAGAAGAACATGGCTTCATTCTAAGCCCTTGCTTTGGACCTTGGTTATATAAATAAAAGTCAGGGTAACAGATGTACATATGAAGTCTGAACTTACTCACTGGTGGCACGAGATGCTCTGCTGAGTGTGGTATCCGTCAGTGTCTTCTCTGGTAATTACACCATCTGGGGATCTAGAACGGCTTTGAAGGAGGAAAAAGGATTGTTCAAATTCAGAGAAAGAGTTTTTCCCCCTTTACCCAAACATATTAATTTTTAATTTATTTCCCATGTGGAAATTATTTTGCATTATGATATTAAAAAATACATAGAGCTTTTAGTTATTACACATTCTTAAACTGTTGTGTGAACTAAGTAAGTCCATTGGTTTGGTCTAATCCTATGGTGTACTGATTTACTTTGGGTGTATAATGATTTTAAATTTCTATTAGAAGTCATCTATGTTCCTAATATTTTAAATAGTTAATTTATTTTGATGGATTTAGCTTTTCTAATAGGAGCTGGTGTGGTTGGAGTAATCACCTTAATTAAAGGTAATTCTAATTCCCCTTACTTAGAAATACATGGACTGTTGTGAAACAGTGGAAACATGATAATTTCAACAAACACTTCAAGAGAACAAATCTCTAACAAGAATTGTTTGGACAGGAAATATCCCTCATTGAACCTGTTTAAAGAATTACCATAGGTCTCTGCATCTGCTCCTAACAGTTCTGGATGAAACCTCTCTGGTGACAATTATGCAAGGCTCCAGTCTATGAGTATAGCAGAATATCATTCAGACTCATTTCATTCACTGGTGGTATTTGGTTCTGTCCTAGGTCTTCAGGCTATCCAGACTCTGGTTTCTGGCCCTGCAGGCAGTGCCAGGCAGGGGCTTCCTCTCATGGCATGGGTCTCAAGTTGGTCCAGTCGTTGGCTGGCCACTCCCACAAGTTCTGTGCCACCTTTATTCACAGCATATCCTGAGACCCACAGACATACATTAGGCAGAGCTCTGGGAATCCTGCAGAAGAGAGAGAGAGAGGGGAAGGATTGTAGGAGCCAGAGGAGTCAAAGACACCACAAGAAAGTAGTCCACAGGATTAACTAACCAGGGCTCATGGGGGCTTGCAGAAACACAAGGGACAATCAGGGAGCTTGCATGGATGGGTCTGACCTAGGTCATCTGCATTCATGTTATGGTTGTGTAGCTTGGTGTTCTTGTGGAAATCCTAACATCGGGAGCAGGGGCTGTCTCTGACTCTTTGCAGGCTGTTGGGACCCTATCCCTCCTATTGGGTTTCCTCATCCAGCCTTAATATGAGGGAATGTGCCTAGTCTTATTGTAACTTGTTATGCCATGTTTGGTTGATATTCCTGGGAGGTCTTCCCTTTTCTGAGGGGAAAGGAAGAAGAGTGGATCCAGGGAAGAGGGGAAGGAGGAGAGGACTGGCAGGAGAGGAGGGAGGGAAACTGAGGTCAGGATATAATATATGAGAGAATAGAAATAAAAAAGAATGACCATAGGAATATTTTTGAAAAAAGTTTATACAAAAAATTTAAAGATGGGATGTGGCCCAACATGCCATTTCATTTTGATGAGTGGTGGAATCACATTCCCTCAGGAGCTCAGCTCGTGGCGTCCCTCTTTGACAGCAGTGGAGTTACTGATTGGAAGTGGTTAGTAAGTTATTCATGGCTTCTAGACAGGAGGCTGGGAAGTTGCAGTCCAAAAAAGCTTCAGTGTAGCTTAGTCAGCAAAGTGAAACAGTTTGCTAGATGATGTTTAAGAAATACTATTTCCTAAGATCTTCGAGTTTTTAAAAACGAGTTCCATATGCTTCTGTGAAGACACATTGTGACATATTTCGAAAGCCAAGAGAAACAGCAGATCAACACTGAATGACAGCTGGCGTCCCACGCCAGTGTGTTCTAGCAAACATTGTGGGATCCATGGCTAAAACCTGGGGGAGGTTAGGTTCCACATTGCCCCTTATTTACATGGTCTGACAAAAAAGTTACATAAGAGAAAAGAAGAGAAGGATGTCAGCTGTCCGACTAGAAGCCATGGCAGTCGCATTCACTGTAAGTTGAACACTGTTAAACAAACCTGCAGCGTTTATGTTATTGTTAGTATATTAATCTTTGCTTTTCCTTTGTGTGTGTGTGTGTGTGTGTGTGTGTGTGTGTGTGTGTGTGTGTGCGCGTGCGCGCGCGCGAGCATGTAATTTTCTGGACTATACAGCATTACTCTTTTGTTCATAATACTATTAGATATATAAACTGTAATGTAGATGTTACTTGGCTATCATAGATATTTTATCAGATTAACTGTGGTATTTGTAACAGTAAATTTTTTTAAGCCAAACTCTGAGTCAGAAAACAATCTGACTTTCAACATTTCAAAGATAATATTGATTGTGATAGCAAGCAATCCCTTAAAAACCTTTATTATTTTTCTTTTAGAAAAGGAAATAAATGTACCCTGATTCTACTTTTCTAGAAAGAATCATTCTACTGAGTCCAGTGGCCAAGTTTTCTCACTCTGAGAACAGCAAGATTTACCAGATGCAAAGCGGTCATTTGAGTAACTTTTCATTGTAAAGTAACTTGTTGCAAAAGGGTGAATTTTTCTTCTTTCCCATATTTATATTAAATATATTCATTGGGTTTATGTCATATACCTGGAGGCAATCTTAACAGTTTGATTAGTTATTTTTCCTCTTTACTGTTACAAAATACTCAGAATTTTTTTTAAAAAATCAGCTTAAGGGAGGAAGGGTTTGACTTGGCTTACAGTTTGAAGGTGGTACCATCTTCATGATGGGAAGGCATGGAGTAGGCATGTGAGGCTGCAGGTCACATTGTTTCCATGGTTACAAGCAGAGAGGGATGATTGCTGCTGCTCAACCCATTTTCTCCCATTTGTATTCAGTCTGGGATGAAAGCCTATAGGATGGTGCTGCCCACAGTCAAAGTCTTCCTTCCTCAGTTAAACTTTTCTAGAAATGCGCTCACAGACTTAACCAGAAGTCTGTATCCATGGTGATCCTAAATCCACTTGATGATGAAGATTAACATTGATCTAGTAGTTGTTAACACAAATCAGTATATTCCTTTCTAACTCATTCAATTTCATGTTGACTCTATTGGTTCAAAGTTATTTTCAAAGTAATAAAATTCCCATAAGGCTACATTCTTTGGATTTCATACACAGAATGGATAATGATATATTGAATGATAGATACTTACTAGTGGGTGACCATGGGAAAGCTCCTTAGTCATTCCAAGCCTTAGCTTCCTGATCTGTAAATTGAGGTTATCAATATGTGTATTGTCTGCAGCTATCACTTAAATAAGTTAATACCAGGAGAGTGCTGAGAACAGTGTCTGATATGTATACAGTCATATCCACTAACTGATATTCACTAATGGTACTTACTCACACTTACTTGTGGTGGTATTTTATTTGTGCTTTGATAAATAAAGCTTGCCTGGAGATCAGGGGGAAAAGGCCAGCCATTTTAAGTAAACAAAGTCAGGCAGCACACGCCCTTAATCCGATCACTTAGAAGGCAGCGTCTCTGTGTGTTCAAGGCCATACTAGGGAACAGAGCCAATCATGGTGACACACACCTTTAATCCCAGTACCAACCATAAAGACCTGGAGGTCTGTACAGACAGACAGTGACAAAGAAGTGAGGTAGCTGGGCTAAGAGCCAATGAGAGGGCAGAACAGCAAGGCATATAAAGGTGTAGGTAAGACAGGAAGTGGCTCAAATTTGGAAGCTGCAGAGCTGGTGTGAGGTAAGGGTGGTTGGTGGCTTTTCCTATTTCTCTGATCTCTAAGGTTTTCATCCCTATATTTTGCTCTGTGTTTTTCATTTAATAAGACCATTTAGAAATTCGTCTACACTTACTCTATTGTTACAGTTATAATTTAGATTTGTTTCAAAAGATTTTCCCAACTTCTATATTATGACAGAGTTTTACAGGTTATTTGTTTATGTGTTTGGCAGAATGCTCATGGAAAGGCCATCTCTGACTCTAGCAATGAGGAGCATAGCTATGCTGCTGTCACCTGTAGTCACATGTTGCCATCCTATGTATATAAGAATCAAGCTCTTTCAAGCTCAATTATATTTGGGGAGGGGAGAGTTTATATGGTTCTTTTAGATCACACACAGCATGTGCACGGTCATGGATAAGGATTTTGACAAAGTTCATAAAACATTGGGAAATTTTGAAACCAAGCAGATAAAAGTTCAAAAACTTGGAGTGACATGCTTTTGGGTGTTAACAAGCAAATGCTGGTTAGATATGAGTTGGGATATTCACTGCTTACTACTTTGTAGCTCAAACTATTTGGTCTATGGAGAACTGTGGAGGGTCTGGTTTTATTAATCATTTGTACCTGTGTAGTGCTGTGTCTTCTGAGCCATTGTCCCTTACTAAAGGCTTGAGATTATTTTGAGTGATCATACCCACTACACAGTCACATACACTATGTAAGTAAGGTCAGAAAATGTTTTAAATTCTAAACTTTATGAATATCAACAAATTTGCTTGCTTCTGTGTTTCCAGTGTTGTGTGTGTTGGCGGAGATGGATCTGCTAGTGAAGTAGCCCACGCGCTGCTCCTCAGAGCTCAGAAGAATGCTGGGGTGGAGATGGACTGCCTCCTGACTCCCGTTGGAGCACAGCTTCCACTTGGCCTAATACCAGCAGGCAAGGAGTAGCTGCAGATTCATTAAACTGCTCCCTGTCCTCTTTGTCTTCTAACCCAAAGACAAAACATCATGACCAGAACCAAGATGGGGAGAAAAGGGCTTATTTCATCTTAAAGCCTACAGTTGATCACTTAGGGAAGCCAAGGCCGGAACTGAAGCAGAGGCACAGAAGGGTGCTGCTTACTAGCTTGTTCCATGGCTCTCTCAGCTATCTTTACAACTGGGTACCATCTTCCCAGGGGTAGCACCAACCACAGTGGATGAGACTCTCCCATATCATTCTTTAATGAAGAAAATACCTCATATCCCACAGACTTGCCTATAGGCCAGTCTGATGTGGCGGTATTTTTTCAATCGAGGTTCCTTCTTCCAAGATAGTACTAGCTCATGCCATGTTGACAGAAACAAATCTGTACAATGTTCTCTTCTGTAATTCCATTTCCTATCTCCTAATAAGACTCAAATGTCTTTGGTTCTGAAACAGCCTCACTTGATGTCCAGCATTTCCACAAGCAAATGTAAAACATAGGGCAAGAAATTTAATGTTTTGGAGCCACATTTTTTTTCTAATCTATATTAGGAGAATCATATATAAATATCCACTGATTACAAGATTATTGTACTATGAAGTTTGATGTGCATAGACACTTAGGCAATTATCAGTGGAATTTTTATTTCGCCATGAAAAAGTCTAATGACACCCAGAACCAGATAGGAAGTTTCAAAGTAGGGCTGCTCTACATATTATGTTTACAGTGTCCTGTGAGGTAAAATGTAGAACTTGGACAACTGTAACTTCAACAGGTAACTTCCTTCTGTCTGGAGAGAGAACCCAGGACCTGGAGGGCAGTCAGTCTCCTTCAAGGCTCTCAGGTTCCTCATCTCTTATCCCAAGCATATCCCTAGTGTCTTAGCACAGGGAATATGCAATAATGTTTATTAAGTTGGTAGAATATACAGAACACCTAAAATATAGGCTCCACCATAATAAAAGGAAAGGCAAACCCTGGAAGCACTTGAAGAATAGAAAGAGAGCCTTTGATAGGAGATGAGTGTAATAGATGGACACTCTGCATACATGCCACAGAAAGGGGTCTGACTTTGACCTGAGAAGCAGTAGAGAATTATGGGATGTTTTAGATCAGGGAAACCATTCAAGGGAACTTAGTCCAAGAGAATTTATTTTGATGCAGGATGCAGAATTACTTGTGGAGAAAGCAGAGATCGAAACAAGGGAAAGAGAGCAAGACTATGTACAGTTAAGAAAAGAATATGTTATTTTGTACATAATTCACTCATTTCACTGAACAATCATAAAGGGAATTTGTTACTTTTTCATTTTAAAGAGTTAGAGTTTCTATTGCTGTGATAAAACACCATGACCAAAAGCAGCCTGGGGAGGAAATGGTTTATTTCAGCTTAAAGCTCGTAGTCTAGTATGAAGGGAAGTCAGGGCAGGAACTTGAGGCAGGAACCTGGAAGCAAGAACTGAAACAGAGGCCGTGGAAGAATGTTGCTTACTGGCTTGCTCCTCATGGCTTGTTCAGTCTGCTTTGTTATAGCATCCAGACTACCTGTCCAAAAGTGACACCACATACAGTGAGCTGGACTTTCTCACATGAATCATCAATCAAGAAAATACCTACAGCCCAATCTAGTTGGGCACATTTTCAATTGCCATTCCCTCTCCCCAAACGACTCTGGCTTATGTCAAGTTGACATAAAACTAACCAATAAAAAATCATTATGTATAATTGTTAAGACAAAAACAGGAAAATACATTTTTCTTATGAAAATAAAAAAATGTATGTATTTAAAAGAAAATTCAATGTTCAGTTTAATAACCATATCCATGCCATAAATTTAGAATTGCTATTGCAGAGATAGCTCTACTTATGTGTTTAATATGTGAGTGGTTCCCTAAGGGATTAGCTTTAGGGTTTTATTATTGTAAAGCATATTTGTGGTTTTGTAAGTACATACATTATTCAGTAGATAACTATAGAAATATCATTTAAAAAAACAGAACAGATCCAAATGCCTTTGTAAAGTATGAAGTCTTTTACAAAGCCAATAATTTAAAAGGGGAGAGAGATTAGAATATATCCTGACAATTTAAGGTACTTAAAAAAACCAATAATGTTCTCAAAGAAGACAACAAAACAACCTTGACCAAAAAGGGGGAGGGGAGGCAATTTGGACCATTGTTTCATGCTGTTTTATTTTTTGACCTTCAGGGTCATTTTAGTAGTTCTGCCTGTAGCTGGTGGAAGCTTCCCAGCAGTATATGTGCCCAGGCTGCAATTCTTCTCATTAGCACTTGGATCTCTGAGGTCATTCACTAACCACCATAGCTCAGAAATGGAAAGGTCATCTTCTAAGAAGTGTGCTTTTGACATGGAGGGGAGCTGCTGGTAAAAATTGGTCATTATGTCTTTATTATATAACCAATTTTTATAAATGCATAATGTTGAGGCATTGGGAATTTTTTCCCCTTAATTTCAAAGTCCATTTATAATTTGAAAATATCATGTTATTCAGTGGCTACATCCAGGAATGACATTGTCATCTTTTTGTTTTGAAGATACAGCAGGCTGCCAAATTCTGGTAGTTGGATAGGAGTTGCAGCTTGCTAATTCTGTCTAATAGGAAGGGAAAGTCATGTGTGGGGTGTTTAATACGGGGATGCTATGCCTAGTCAGGGCTTTTGATGAAGAATGGGAACAAGAGCTAGGCAGGAAGTTTCCAAGCTGCCCATGAATAGACAGAGTCTGCCTTTGAAGCCGTTTGCCCCCTGGAGAGAGACACCCAGAGGGAGAATGTTTAGTAAATTACTCCACTGAGCCAACAGACTAAGCTGCTGAATTATCCTCAGACTCCAATGTATCAGATGTAGGAAAGCCAGTATTTGAACTGCTGGCCATTAGGAATTGTGTTTGTTGCTATGGGAACTGGTGCTAAGGAACTACACAGACAGAGTCTGATTAGAAGGGGATGGGGGATAGTGAGAGAAGCCTGAGAGGACATAAAAATAAAAAAGCAATCCGGTTGTTGTAAAACAAGACCTAATCCACACACTAATGGCTCTGAATCATATATTCCTGTAGAGTTTGCATAAATAAATTTCATCCTTTCCAATTAATTTGGGTAGAATAAGATATTGCCGAGAGACTGTTAATTTCTATGATATTTAAGGCAAAGAAGCGATATGTAGGTGCTGCTTTCATGAGAATTTTAGATATGCTTGACTAGGAAGTCATTACATCACATTTATCTGCTTGGATGTAGGAGACATTAACAGCCTTATGAATATTCATGCTGTCTGGTTAATTAAGTTAATTGTTCTGCAGAAGTGCTTGCACTTCCAAGGACAATTTTTTTCATTTATTTATTTATTTATTCATTTATTCATTTATTTATTGCTTCTGTGGGTGCTGCCTAGTACATTACCAGGCAGGGTTTCACTTTCTCTTTCATGAACTGCTGCCCACCCCCTGCACCTCAACCCAGCTCTTTGTTTTTAGCACATTTCAGCAGGTGTGGGGGAGGGGCTGGTGGGCAAAGTTACTGGTGGTGTTCAGAAAAATAACTTTTCCTGCTAATTAAAATGTTTACCTTCTGCTATTTATGTGAACAGTGTAGTGGGGACATCTTTTCAAATAGCGTACAATTTCCTGGAGGAAAAAATATCATCTGTAATTTTATGATGTCAAATGTATTTTCTCATGAACTTTTATGTTTTCTTCAGAGTGCTAAAAAAACTCATGTTCAAAGATTAAAGGTAACACATTAATGTGTAGATGATGAATGATTTCTGACATCTGGTCATGCTTCCTATGACAACTAAATTGTGTTGGAGGACAGTTGCAGAACTTGACAGGTCATGAAGCAAACTGATTTCTAGCATCTCAAAAGGATATTGCTTGAGCACTCATCACACTTCAAGATCATGGGGAGCTGTCTTCACTTTTCTTGAGTCGTGATGCATGCTCTTAGCTATTGTGACTAGCGTCATTACTTTATATATCTTAAAGTCTTTCCAGAAGAATGGTTTTACAGTCTTCTTCAACCCCAGGAATGGAGGAAATGACATTATGAAATTCTATAATCAATATTACTAAAGACCCCCCTCTAAGTATGTCTCCTTTCCAAAGCTTTTACTTAAATCTGATGCAACAAGAAGAAACTGATTTGTTTTCCTTCTGGATAATTTCAGATTCGTCATGAACCATATGAACAATACCTAGGCAGTAGGCTCCAAAAGTTCATGGAGAGTTCTAGTCAAAGGTCCCCAGAGTAAAGGGTTCTAGACTACCTGTTTGCAGACTAAGAGTGCAAAAATCACCCTATGCATTTGTGAAAACATTTACCTGGGTCTACTCTGTGTGCTCACACACATACTCAATTCACATCACAAGTTGGAGGTGAAACCTAGGAACCAGGTGATGTTGCTACTACTTATTCATAGACTGCGCCTTTATAAAATTCACCTGGGCATCTTAAACACTGTAGACTGATTCATTGTATCTAATGTGAGGCTTGAGAAACAGGTTTTTCTTAAGTTAATTTATTTCTATCATAATTGATTTAAATGGCTTTTCCTCGCTCATTTTGAAAGGACTGAAAACTGTCCATGATTATAGGTACAACATGCTTCGGAATATATAGACACCGTGGAAAGGCTGAATTGGACTAATTACCATATTCACTCCC